AAGTTTTAGAAAATTTTGTTAATTAACAATTGTCTAGATTATTGAAAAATTACCTCCAATGAAAAATTCCAACAAGAATTAGTTCTCTATGATGTTTACATTATATCATAAATATTTTAAAGTGTAATACCGTTTCGGGAGTTGAAACTTTTTTTTAGTAAATTTCCTCCTCTTCAAGGATCTTTTTTTAAAAATTCAAAAATATTTATAGTTTACGAACTATAAACAACAAAACCGAATACTGCTTTTAAGGGTCTTTAAATTGTTTATAACTTTTAGAATTTTTTATGAACTAATTAACTTTTTTTCCCACAATGATTTAGACAATATTCCGGATCGAATGAGCCTAACCACATTACTAGGGGAATGTCCATTTAACACGAATCTGAACTTAAAGCCCAGACTATTAGTGGAACGCACGGATAGTGGTGTCAGTTTATCCTATATTCATATAGTCAATGTCAATGTCACTGTCAATGTCACTTTTTGTGATTCTTGTTGCAAATCTTTCAAGAATCATGTTGGTTTGAAGATACAAAATGCGAAAATATATCAAAATTAAAAAAATTGTACCAATATTCCTGTCACTGAAATGTCTCAGAAACTGAAAAAGCTCGAATACCCTTCCACAAGAGACTGGCTGCTTTGAAACGTAATTGTATCGTTTCAATGAGAATACCGAAGGCTGTCGATTTCTTTCTGCTTGACGCCTTTCGAATACAATAGATGAATGTCTGAAACACAATCTCATCGAATCCTGGGAGAAATTTCTTTCATTTGGTTACAAAAGTTTCCAAATTCCGTATGATGATGGCAAATGCAAAATATTTCTAGCAAGTATTTATGAAAAAAATTCAGTCAAACCTACTGAAACTGAATTTATCCAGGAGTTTGAAAACCCTGAGTTTATTCTAATTAAGATAACGATTGATAAAGTATCAGATGAAGATCTTTCAGGAGCTGTAAAAATTCTATGTTCTAATGACGAACTGACGAATCCTCATCCTCAGTCCAAAACTCAAATTTGTTATCAAATTAACATCTCTTCAACTAGTTCTTTAGTTGTAAATAAGAATGAAGTTCGTCAAGCAATTATGTCCTTTCGTACTAGTTCATCTGGAGATTTGGATTCTTTGAGGCCATCTTATCAACAAGACACGAAGATTTCACATCACTAATACCATTTGTAATATTTAGCTATTGGGCTATCAGGTACTGTGAACAATGAAATTTATCTTATTTTATTTGGTGCTCAATTATGTTTGAAAAAAAGATGGTGGAATTAGACCAATTGCCATCGGCAATGTTTTTCGCTATTTTGTTGCGAAACTGGCTTTATTCAAGTTGAAAAAAAATTGAAAGTGTTTTCCGTCCATTTCAGTATGGTTTCGAATCTCTAAGTAGTTGTGAAACTGTCTCCCACGCTGCCCATATTAATGAACACGAGTCCAAGGACGGAAAATTTTTTCTTACATTGGATTATAGGAATGCTTCCAATATGCTGAATCGAGACTATTCTGAAATCAGTTCGAAATAGTGTTCCAGAGTTATATCATTTTGTATTTCAATGCTCCTATCATCTTTTCATACTGACATTTGATGAAAATTCAATATCGTCGGAGCGTGTCTATACACAACATAATTAAAAATTTAAAAACAGAGTTCAATACTTGGTATTTAGATGACTGTTCCTTCGTGGAAGGCAATAAAGAAGTTTCCAATTCCCTCTCGGCTGTTATTAAAAAATCAAAGAAGATTGGGCTTGAACTTAACTTCCAGAAATGTGAACTTCATTTTTTAAGTGAACCTGATTTGAATATTTCGATAAAATTCAATGATATTGCTCCTGAAATCAAAATAATCGACAGAAATGATTTAATTCTTCTTGGTTTCTCTGTCACAGATGAATCATTCATTATATCTTTCGAGGAAAAATTGCATAACTTTAGAAATATCTTGTCTTCTCGTCTTTATGTACTTCCAAGACATGTACCTTTCCATCTACTCAGGAACTGTTCGACTATTCCAAAGCTTATTCATCTCATAAGATGTTATCCAACCAGGCATCACAAACGTATCTGACCAAGTTTGATGAAGAAATTCGTAACACTCTTCGACTTCTATCAAATGATCAATTGGAGATTAACGCATGGCTTCAGGCTATACTTCCGGACTCTCATTAAGATTCAATTATTCGCACAATCACCAATCTTTCACTAGCTGCCTTCCTCTCTTCAAGTTATAGTATGGCCTATATGACAGATTCACCCTCCTTTTCATTGGAAAACACTTTGAAGGAGGCCGAACAACTATATATCTCACAAACTGATCAAGCAGTACCAAGTACCAAAAAAAATTTCAACAAACTTGGGATATTCCTGTGGGGAAAAATGTCTTAAATAATTTGTTAGATTCGGTCAAATCTCTTATAGAAAAGGCACGTATAAAAGCAGTGTCGTCAAAACATGGAGGCGTTTGTTGAATGCTTTATGAGTTTCATTCCTTGGTACATTATTAGACAATGAATCTCTCAGAGTTGCTGTAGGTCTTCGACTAGGTATAGTCGAAGTAATCTTTATTGTGAACACAAGCTATCGGCACCCTCAAAGGCCAAAAAAACCAATTCAAAGAGATAATGCCGCTGTCAGCTAGTCCACGTGGACTGAAGAATTGGCGGTTCGTATTGGATGATTTTTACTGTTTTATGATTGGCTGAAGAGTCATAAAATTAAATTTCAAATTCATGTTACGGTGACGAATAGAATGCTAGCCGTCGTTTTGTCAATGTTCAGTTCAGGAACTGATCGCGATTTGAGTGTTGAAATTCGATATTGGGGCAGTTATAATTACTTAAAATTTTTGTTATCTGTTTAAAATATGGCGTCCATCTCAGAACCTCCAGATACTTGCAGCGATGATGGGGAACGACCAGATGGCATGACTCTTATTTCTTGACGGAGAGGCACACCGGTCGTCTAAGATTTTACCTACGTCGATACTCTGGCTCCTTGTCATGTTCCTTCGACTTCCGTATCTAGCGGTTCATCAGCGGAACTGACAAAAAAACAAAGATACAATTGTTTGGAAAATAATTTCATTTTCTATGCAATAGGAATCGAAACATTTGTATCTACCGTTGGCCCCCAAGCATTTGAATTTGAGTTCATTCATGAAATCGACAATATTGATTCAAAAAACTTGCATTCTAATTCAAATGAGAAATGCAGCTTCATGTTAAGGTTTCTATTCATCATTTAAAAACACGAAGTGAATTATTCATGTTTCCCATGAAAAAAATATATCAGCATCCATATATAATGGTACGGCCAATCCCATACTAGCCTCATCCCCAATCGAACGTTATGTATCGCACAGACAGTGCGAGAACTGGAGATGTGCAGTGTGATGGAAGACTAGTAGCAAAACGATCAAGCTTTGACAAAAGAGGAGGAGGCTGTATTGAGTTTTCTGGCTGAGCCCGCACAGTCCTCAAAAGAACTAATTCTCAACAGAATTGGAATAACGAACCCAATCCCTGTCGCAAAATCGAGGACAAGTCTGTACAAATCCGATAAAGCCGATGTTTCGTCTGAATCCGTCAGCAGTTTCGACAAAGTCGCTTCTGACCAGGCCGCTGAAAACGAGTACATGTGACCCTTTAAGTACTCCAGAAGATTCGACCAATTCGTAGAACACGACTATTACAGAATAGGCGAGTTTCTTTCTACATACACAATCTACAGTAGGGCAGTGAAATTGCCGCCGAAAGGTCTATTTAATCGAAGCACTTACTGCATCAACTCGATTTTGCAAGCCCTGATCGAATGTCCACCACCTTATAATTTGCTGCACAGCCTGAGCAAAAATATCTGTTCGAACGTGAGAAGGGAGTCCACCCCGGTTACGTTTCGTTTTGTATGACTACTCACCTTCCAATATTGGGACGAAAGACATGAGAGTGGGTAAAAGTTCCAAGAATGACCAAAACCAGTTATTATCAACACGGGCACTGAATTCGGCCGGACGTGGATTTATAAAATGTTGAATAGCGTGCGGACAGAATGGATCGAGGGTAGGCAGCAAGGTGCGAAAAACTTTTTAGTTTGCTTTCAAATCGCATCGCGCATGATCGAATTGTAGAATATAGTTTTTGGATGCGCCAGGAATTGCCTCGATAATCGGCAATGTTCTCATGTCTGAAATTTTTCATGGGATTTACGCTGTATATCGTAATATTCAGTTTGATGTTTAGTTGTTGTAACATAAAGAATAAAAAAACTTTTTGGTTGATATTGGATTTCAATATTTCGTTTTTCGAGACCGGATTGAACTTAGATATTTCAGGTAAAATATAACAATGATTTATTTCATATTGTATTCGTATTTAAAAAGATATAAAAACATAGTTTGAGAAATGAGTGTTTGAAAAAAACAACGAAGATGTTACCAATTGGATAAAGTTTGTTTGAAGGTGGTTGACAATATTTCGTGATGCATTTCATTAGTTCGGAATTCCTTTCATTGTCTAATATGATATAAATTGATTTGAAATCCCTGAAAGAATCTATAAAAAATTGAAAATTAAGTTTGCGAAGGGATGGCAAATAACGATTTCAGCATTCCTTAGTTCGTGACCAATTTTTAAAGATAAGGGAATCAATGAGTTGAAAATGTAATATTTTGTACTCATATTTTCAAATGTACTCAAGAGCAGATACAAATTATTTATTTTCATCCAGGGCTTGATGAATGAATAAACGAATAATTCAATTAAATTGTTTTCTTCCTATTTGTAGTACATTTTCTGGAAGTCATTAACCATACAAAAATGGGCCAACACTAATTTCCAACAATAGTCAGATCAACAGAAGATTTTATCAGTTCTTGAAATATAAAAGAAAAAAGTTGGTCTACTGCGCCAAAGGGAAGCGAAGACCATCAAAAAAGAGATGAAGAAAAAAAAAAGTGATTTTAAATAAATATAAACTGAAAATTCTTACCACAGTAGTTGTTGTTACTTTGAAGGTTCTCTTGATTGCATCAGTAGTTTTTGGGGTTCCTTCTCTGGATTCCATTCCTGAAAGAATTACTTGAGATCCTATGAACCTGTTCAACAAGCCTCTTGCTTTGATATCTTCTTCCGTATCATCATCCTGATAGTCTTCAGTCTTCATTCTATTTATAACATCTTTGACTCCCGACACATGAGTTTTGTTAGCGAGGAATGTATTTCCTGATACAGGTCTTGTTCTCGTAATACTTTCGCTTTCTGTGAAAGCTGATAATATGAAATTTTATTATAGTTTATCGGCAAAAAATGACAATATTTTCGAATATGAGTACATTTCTGTCTATAACATCATACAATCACTAGAAATTGTTCATGACGGCTGTAAAATACTAATTAGGTAGTATTGAATATACTCGTAAATCAATTCGAATAATGCAAGACAAAGGAAAACATATGGACGAGTTTACTACAAGATACTGAAAATGTATACAGTGTGTCTAAGTCACCTAGAATAAATTCCTCTTTCAAGTAACAGTGACCGATTACCAACTTTCACATTTTGAATGCAACACCCCTTATATTATTCAATTTGTGGACCATTCAGAACATTCTTGAAATATTTCACGTCCTATATGCTTAACTATACCTGATTCCTAAGAACACGCTCAATAATTATTTCCCGTTTAGGTCATGATGGTAACAATTTTGTTTTCTTCAGTTTTTAATGCTAAAACGCCTAACCTGAGTAACTTGTATCACAAAGGTGGTACATTAAAAAAAATGCACAAAAAATAATAATTATACAGATGATTGGACAGAATACAGAGATACAAATGAAAGTTGCTCGCTTATTCAATGAGAAATTTACAAATTTATCGCTTGTATTACAAATAAAAATTGAAAAGCAGTTTCGTGAGCTCGAATAAAAGCCAAATTGATAGTAAAAATATATTTGAAAACAAGCTTCTATTAACATAAAATAAAATTTAGAGTAAATTCAACCCATCCCTTTATTATATTACACAATTGATATGATATGAAAGCTTGTCGAGAGATATACCTATTGAATGAAAAAACCATGTAATTTAGTTACTCCTCTGAAATATTTATGTCAAGAGCAAGGTATATATTGTATACTTGTTTTTTCACAGATAAATCTCGCGGCAAGCTTTTATATCATATAAATTGTGTAATGTAACAAACTGATGGTTTTGATGTATCTTGAGAATTATTTTTTCTCTTTGTCTTATTTTTGCATTGTTCTTTTATTTAGTGGCGTCATTGTTGCATGATTGGTCCCTATGACATTTGTTCGAGCACAACCATACTATTTCCAACCTTCACCCAGTTATATTCCGCCATATTGATTTTTTCCCTTGACCCTTTCCATTTGACATTCATATCATGGGCTTGCATGAAAAACATCTTTAGTAGACAGCCATATTGGATTTGGATTATTTTTAGAAAAGCGTTTCATTTGATGCCCATGGCATGGGGTGCATAAACATTTACAGTGACTTGGCATGAGATGAAAAAAATTAAAAAAAATAGTGCACCATCTTGGATGGTCTGCCATATTAGATTTAGAGTGGCGTCATAATTATTTTTGGTTATCAGCAAATATTTTCATTTGGAAATATCCCGGAAGTGCATGAAAAACTGGTCGCCATATTGGATGGTTCACTATATCAAAATTGAGTTTGCGAGATTTGACTGAGACTATATACATATATACATATGTGTAAGCAAGCAAGTAAAATAAAAGCTTGTGAAAAGCAGCTGCTAATGCAGTAAATGCTGATACCAAATTGCATGAGTTTCACTAGTTCGGACTTCCATTGTCTATTATATAAAATGATTTGACATCCCTGAAACAAGTAAAAAAGAATGATTAAAAAGGATAGTTGAAAATAACAATTATATTAAGCAACAATAAACCTGAAATGAAATGATAGTGAAATAACCTACAAGTAAAAATATAATAATTGAATAAATAAAAATTAAAGGAATGCAAAAAAGAAAATAATAAAAATAAAAAATAAAAAGTGTAGAGATTCCAAGTCACGTTAGTTCACGACGTTTCGATTGTTGGTATCTACAATCGTCTTCGGGTGATGACTGGACTGATTCCTCCGAGAGATGACTATTTTATAGGTCGTTGAAATACTTTCACTTTCTCTACTTTCCATTTTCCGCTTCACTG